AAAGGTATACTGAACCATGCTTCATGGAGATATTGTGAAAGTTCCGGGAGAGATGCTGGTGGAGGATATATCGATTCCCGATTCATCGTTCTAAAATAGACCATAACGGTTCAATGATATTGAAATTAGTGGACTGTGCGGGCCAAGATAGATGTTTCACTTCATACTCGTGTTCATCAAACCAGGATTGGACAGGTTTCCCTGCTTAAATAGGAGCATTATCATCTTGGAAAATTTCATGCCCTGCAGGAAACAATGTTTACATCCTAGGACTGATTTGGTCAGCTAAAACCTCTCTCCACTGATCCTTCCTTTAAGAATTACGATTGTGAAAGCAGAACACCACGACATGGCTGTTCATATCATGACATATCTACCTCTATGCTTGACAGTTGGACGGAGACAATCACGATCATACACTTTTGCAGGTGTCCTTCAAACGCGCACCCGTCCTGTTATGGAGAAAAGTGTGAAAGATGATTCATCTGATCCTATAAGTGTCTTCCACTTATCAATCGAGCAAGTTTTCTATTGTGGCACCACTGTAGATGATGTTTGATACTAACAGATGTGACAAGTGGCTTGGGAATTTCTGCTCTGGCGTAAACGTCCTGTTGATAAAGGTCCCTTCTTAATGAGGCATACAGATACTGATTGAACTCTTACACACACTTGTTTTCTTTTTTGGCATTGCAATCCGCTTCAATACTCGTATGTATCTTTCCCTCAGCTTCTCCTTCCGTCTACTATTTTTCTTTGCCGCGTTGTGTGTACGCTATTAAAACTTTAAATATCGCCTAAACTCGGATGTTTCAGTCACATTTGCTTTAGCTAATCGGTCTCCTACAATGTGGCCTCTTTGAAAGTCTGTGAGGTCTGACATTTTAAGCATTTGACATAAATCCGAGACGCATACAATTTCAATAAGTTACCTGATACTACCATGATATATATTTTTTATATTGAAAAAAAAAAAACTGGAAGCTTAGAATATATTTCAATACTTACGAAGCGCGTTCTTAAATGTAACTTTTATTTACAGGTGTTTCCATTATTTGATAATCACCAGTATATTATTTATATGTAATGTTATATTATAACCTACGTCCTTATAAACATAAAGTGTAAAATTTTATACTTGAAATAAAAACAAAAAAATGATAAAATTTATTAACTAATTATTGAATAATTATGACTTTTAAACATAATTATTCAATAACTTTCAAATTTGACGATTTCACCTCATAATAATTTTAATTAAAAATAGAATAATTTAAATCAAGATCTCATAATAATCTCATTTTTTTTACCTTTTTTTTATTGAGAACCATCAATATTTCAGTATTTCTAAGTCATACTTTCGCATTGATATACACTTCAATACTTCTCTCAAGTAATAAAATTATTCTGGCAACTTAAATTAAGACAAAACTTCTCTCATTTGATCTTTACGAGCAACATTAATTTATCTGATATTAAATAATTTAAAAGGCGGATTTATTTTGTATTTGAGGATTACAAAACGCCGTTTCAGCAACTGCACCCTAAAGTCAATAGATTTAAGCAAAGAGGCTTATTTCATTTCGTCGCCAGTTTAACATGGCGCCCCATTCATTCACCGTTTTTAACGAATAGAGAGCATAACGGCGGAGAGGCGATTGTCTCCTATGACACTCAATTCACTTAATGGCGGCGGTGCATCTCCGATTTCTTGAATCGTCAGTGATTGGTACAAAGAAGTCTCTTCACTTGAAGTGCGGTGGTTTGGTGCTTCACTTTTCACAGACCATCGTCTCAAATGCAGAGTGGGTGATCGAGAAGGAGAAAGACTGGGAAAATGATTGAAAAAACACCTATTAATCTCTTATGTAACAAATTTTACGTAATGGATATAGCTTCAAATTATTAATTTCAACTTATTTAAATTGTGAAAGGTATGTAATTATAGAATATTAGTTCGATTTTACTGTGAAATAGTTTCAGTAAAATTCGTAGAAAATATTCTATAACTTAGTGAAATAAGATTTGTTTCTAAATGTCAGGTAGATCAGATGTCATTATTCACTATAACAGCCAATTCAACGTTATCCAGAACAAGTCACCAATGCGGCCCCTACTGCCGCAGCCCTTTTGAATGAGTATCTCTAGAAATATCATGTGTTGTGTTTGCACTATTCTCTCTTCCTCAATCTCAAAGGATGAAAATTCTGGCCCATGGAACTACTATTCTAAATTTGAAAAAATTATTTAAAAAAATATATACTTGTGTTTTTTGTTGTTTTACTAATACCACTTGGTCGACAGCAACATCTAGCCAAGTCCAAACACCCGTGTGGTCTCATGCAAGCAGGTAAAGGGGGTACAGCTTTTGTTGTGATGAAGCACCCGTAGATAGAAATCCGACTTAGCTCCGTGAAGCTGATTTTTTTACGGAGTAGGTTGTCAGTCCTAAGCCCAAATCTCTACAGCCATATTAGATCAGGACCTACGTTTTAAAGTGGATTCCAAACCAATACAAACATTCATAGCACCGAGCGGCAGAGAGCTAGTCACTCTGCCTTCAAGTCCCTATTAACTAACAATTTGTTAATTATTACTTTTAAAAACAATTATCCAATCATTTTAAAATGTGACGATTTCATTTCATAATAATTTTAATTTAAATTACTTATGTAAATATTTTACATCCAAAACACTGGATTTTCAGAAAATTCTGTAAAACATCAATATTTCTAAGTATTACTTTCTCATAGATATACACTTCAATATTTTTCTATTGAAATATAGATGCCACAAAATTATTCTGGCAACCAAAATTTCAACCAAACTTCTCTCATTTGAGCTTTACGTGCAACATTAAATTATTTGGTACAAATAATTTAAAAGGCAGACTTATTTTGAATTTGGGGATTACAAAACGCCATTTCAGCAACTGCAGCCTAAAGTCAATAGATTTAAGCAAAGAGGCTTAGAGGCGATTGTCTCGTGTAACACTCAATTCATTTGATGGTGGAGGTGCATCTCCGATTTCTTGAATCGTCACTGATTGGTACAAAGAAGTCTCTTCACTTGAAGTGCGGTGGCTCAGTGCTTCATTTCTCACAGACTGCCGCCTCAAATGTAGAGTGGGCGATCGAGAAGAAGAAAGAATGGGAAAAGCACCTATTCATCTCTTATGCAACACATTTTGCATAACGGATATACCTTCAAATTATTAATTTCAACTTATTTAAATTGTAAAAGGTACGTAAAGATGTTTAATTATGGAATATTCGGTGAGATTTTACTGTGAAATAGTTTCAGAGATTATAGATCTATAATCTTCGCATTTCTAAAGCTGCCTGATGGTTAATTGGATAGCGCTCTCACCTTTGGTACCACGGGCTTCAAGTTGGAGCCCTGGCTGTGGCGTGGATGTTTGTGAGTGGTTCGGAATCCACGTTAAACTGTAGGTTCTGGTCTAATTAGCCTAAATTGTGCATAAAATGACCGTAGAGCGACAAATCAAAGCAAATCTCATTTCTAAAGTGTTACGTAAGAATTTTATTTATTATTTTTTTTAGAATTTCATGTGTAAGTAAATAAAAAAATTTCAAACTTTTTTCTTTACTTACATGAAAAGAAAAAACATTTAGGTATAATCATTAAAATGTATTTAAAAATATGGAAACAAAACAAAATGTGAAATAGAAGATTTCTTTCTAATTTTCTGTTCTAAATATTTTTTATGTGTAATTAATTTTATGAACGACAATTGCATTAAAATATTAATTTTTTGTGATTTATAATTATACGCAGACAAAAAAAGACCTGATAAAAAAGATTTATCCATTAAAAGTCCCAATAGAGTTCCAGAAAATGAATTAAAATATATTTTTAGAAATAGAATAAATCATTTGTAACATTTCATGGTCTAAAATGTTTCGAATGTTATCGTTATAATTATCTTTGAATTGAATATGCTAAAAGATGTTTCTTAAAATATTCTTTTTTGCTAATCTTTCTTTTAAAATTTATGTATTCTTCTAAAGAAACTTGCTTTTTAATTAGTATCAATGAATTTTATTTTTGTTCTCGTATTTTTTTAAAGTAAAAATCATTTAGCTAAAATTTTATTGTTTTATCAGTTATTAAAAATTCAGCATGCTGAGCTATTTTTTATTCCAATTATTAATGATTAAATTCATGATGATTAAATTGATAATTATATTAATGATTAAATAATCATTAAAATTGGTGTTATTTTTCTGCATTAAGAATAGTTTTAGCATTGATTACTTTTAGCCTAACATATAAAGGTAAGATAAGATATTTAAAAATATTCTTAATATGGATGCAAGAGTTGATGTGACGTTTTTGACTAAAACTGCGTTTAATAATATTGTAAATGTATTTGTTTTGTAATATTTGTGTTTAATATATTTAATATATTATATATTAATTATAATGTTTAATATAAAAAGGGGTAATTCCCCAACTTTGGAAATTCAATACGCTATCATCAGATTGCTCCAACATTTGCAACGTTGTTAATGGGAACTTCAACAACATAATTATTTTGATTACGCTATAAATATTATTTGCTTCAAATAAATGTACAAGTTAAAATTATATATATGATTTAAAGTAAAATATTTTAAAGAATATAACATACGATGGCTCTTATATTCAAAACGTAAGACAACAGATATATATATAATATAATATAATATATATATATATATATATTGTTGTTGTTGTTTCTTATCCCACTTGGCTGGCCAAGCCCACGAGCCCATATGGACTCATGATTGAAGGGGAAGGAAGCAGCTTCTGTTGTGATGGAGCACCCGTAGGTAGAAGCCTGACTTTTGCTCCGTGACGCTCTTACAGTCATAGAAGACCGGGACCTACGGTAAAGTGGATTCGAACCACTACAAACATCCATGGCAATTCGAACCCGAAACCTGTGGCACCGAGCGCAGAGCGCTACACTCGGCCATTCAGGTCCCAAATTTGCCAACGGCACGCAGTGTTCCCAGGTGGTCACCCACCCAAGTACTGACCGCGCCCAATGATAATCGGTGATCTAACGAGAACCGGTATATTCAGCATATACGGCCGTTGGCTATATATATATATATATATATATATATATATATATATATATATATATATATATATATATATATAATATAATATATATATATATATATATATATAATATAATATATCTATTATATATAATTCCCGTGTCACGATGTTTGTTCGCGATGAACTCCGAAACTAACCATCCGATTTTAACTTTTTTTTTTTTTTTTTTAAATGTGTGTTTTGTTCCAACTTGAGAAATAGGATAGTTTTTATTCAGATTTTTTTGTATTTAATTGCAAAATCGGTTAAAATCTACCATTGAGGAAGTCGCCAATCTTGCAACCCTGAATTTTCGCCAATTTTCCGCCAATTTCTTTAGGGTTGCAATACTGCAATTAGAGGAATACGTAGCTTCATTTTCCGAACAATATAATGACTATTTTATTGCTATTTCGATAATTAATTGCAGAATTCTTATTTCCACTAATTTCGTTGTTGGAGTAAAAAGTTTGTTTCCACCACAGACGAAAGACATACCACGATAAAATTTAAGTTAGATGGCGCCGTGTCTCGATTCCTGTACTGCATTGCATAACCGTAAAATTCTCATATTCTGAATATTATTGTTTTATGTACTACTTTAAATTTTGAGAAAATTATATTGTATGAAATTTATATTATTTCTATGAGAAATAAATCAAATGTATGTAAGTATTACCTGATTTGATTATCAATATTTTTTTTATTTTCTAAGTTTGAATTTGACTTGGAATAAAATATATTGAATGAAAAGTTGTGAATCAAAACATTGAACTTTTCTATGCTTAAAGTTTGTCAACATGTGTTTTATTTGATTAAGAACGTGAAATGTGATCTGCAAGATAATATAATATAGACAATACAATTTTAAAGAAAGATGATGAATTTTAAGAATTTTTTGAAAAGTGTGAAAATGAAGTAAACTCTGCATTTATTTGATATAATGATAACATTAAAATTTTATAAAAGGTATTATAATAGTTGCAAGTTGAAAATCAAGGACATTTTATTTTAAAAACTTTTGTTATTTGAAAAACAAAGAATTTGAGTTATAAATTTGAGCGATTTAAATATTGCCGAAGAAAAATTGACAAATGGTACTTTTAAGTTGGAAGTTAATTAAAAAAAACAAAAAAAAACTAAATAAGTGTTTATATTAATAAAGGAGAATTCAAAGCTCATTAACTTTTCCATTTGTTTTGTGATTTCTTTCATCATAAAATAATAAAACATTTTTTGTGAAGAAGAAAAAACACATTTTTCTAAGTTTGAATTTGAATAAAATATATTGAATGAAAAGTTGTGAATCAAAACATTGAACTTTTCTATGCTTAAAGTTTGTCAACATGTGTTGTATTTGATTAAGAATTCTAAAATGAAATATGATCTACAAGATAATAATATAGACAATATAATTTTAAAGAAAGATGATGAATTTTAAGGATTTTTTGAAAAGTGTGAAAATGAAGTAAACTCTGCAATTATTTGATATAATGATAACATTAAAATTTTATAAATGGTATTATAATAGTTGCAAGTTGAAAATCAAGGACATTTTATTTTAAAAAGTTTTGTTATTTGAAAAACAAAGAATTTGAGTTATAAATTTGAGTGATTTGAATATTGTCGTAGAAAAATTGATAAATGGTACTTTTAAGTTGGAAGTTATTTAAAGAATACAAAACAAATAAATAAGTGTTTATATTAATAAAGGAGAATTTAAAGCTCAATAAAATTTTTATTTATGTACATTTGTTTTTATTTACATTTAAAAGTTGGTTTTAATTATTTCTTATTTGAATTTTTATGCATTTTGTATACATTCAAAACATAATAAAAATGTTTCTGTTCTAAATGCTTTGAAACTTCATGTAAAAGTTTTCTTTAAATGTATGAAAGGAATAGAACATAGAAATTAGCCTAAATTCATAAATTATTTTTATTTTAACTTAGAATTTATTTTAACTTTTTAAACTAAGAATTTTTGTAAAAAAAAGTTTGTGTCGACAAACTTTAAGCATACAAAAATGTATAAATAATTGAGATATAAATTTGAAAACAGTATATTACCTACATAAGGATATTCCCATCATAAAAATACTTGCAAAGGAAAAATTATTCATGTTTTATTTATTTTTGAATTATAAAGTTTTGCAACAATATCACATTTTTGCAATGTTTATCCATATTTTAAAGAATAAATTGTATAAAAAATAGTTAAAGTTGATATTTTTATGTGAAATTCAAAGGTTTTGAATATATTTAATCAAAACACTTGCAAAAAGGCTAAATATTTTAAATTCAGGTCATTTCATATTAAAAAGCCTTTGCAAATAGCAGGAAGTTGTAAAAAAATATTTTGTTGAGCAAATTTTAACTTTTTCAAAACAAAGCTCAGAAAATATTTACAGCTTTAAGGAAAAAATAAAACTATATTTTTTAATAAATAAGACTATGAACTTGATAATTCAATGGCATTTTAATATATTTACAACATTTTTAAAAGTAATATATCTAATTAAAAGTTGTTTTTAGCTTTTTCTCAGAATGAATTTTTATGCTTTTTGTTTTCATGTGAAACACCATAACACAAGTAATTTTGATCCAAATGCTACAAAACTTTGTATTTATGTTTTTCATAAATATTTACAGGGAATAGACCTCTGAAATGATTATAGCTACATAAATATTTTTTATTTTAATTGTTAAACTTGGAATTACATGCAAATTTTGGAAGAATTTTGTGTCGACAGCATTTAAACTAGCACAAAATAATAAATAATAAAGATATAAATTTACCAGAGGTCTATTCACTGTAAAATGTTAGTACAAACTTAGAAATTTAAAAAATATTGATTTGATTTCAGGTTTTGTAACAGTATCAATTTTTGGCCATTTTTAGCCTTATTTTAGCTTATAAAAATTTAAAAAAAATAATAATGAAATTTTTTTATGTAAAATCATTAGTTTTTAGATACATTCAATCCAAAAATGTGTACAAAGATAAAAAATTCCTTCGAAGGTGTTCGTGTACCTTAAACGATCGTTTGCATTTGTATTTTATTGTGAATTTTTTTTAAAGTCTTTTCTTATTATATCCCGATTTTAAAAAATCTAACCTCAGAATCCGTGCTTCTCCCATGGGCAGCTGTATGTTGCATGCTCACGTGTTCGAAAACCATCGAATTTATTTATTTTGACGAAAGACAGACTAACAAGAAATATTGTTCATCGCTTAGTTCTTAGTTAAATGAAAGTAATGATTATTAAAAATTAAATTACGTAAAATAATTAGAAAACAGTGTTAAAAATCAACATTATCTACCTCATTCATTAAATTAATAAAAATTAAACATTTTCTATTCGTTGAAGCTTAATTTGATCTTTTCATCATTCTTTACCAATCACTTCAGTAACAATACCAATTATAGTATCTAATAATTGAACGAAATACAAGAAAGCCACAGCAACGCGTGGCCGGGTCTTCTAGTATATATAATATAATATATATATATATAATATAATATATATATATATAATATAATATATATATATATAATATATATAATATAATATATATATATATATAATATAATATATATATATATATAATATAATATATATATATATATATATATATATATATATATATAATATAATATATATATAATATAATATATATATATATATATATATATAATACAAATGTAAAAAAATAAAGATTATACTTCTTTTGTTAAGATATAAGACAACTGATGCAGAAATAAACAAGTAAATATTATCGCTCGTATATTGAAAATATCAATTTTGAATTCTAATGTATGCAATATTTTAAAAGAATAAAATCTAAATCTATATTTTTTTCATTTTGCAAATGTATATTTTTCTATAATTTTAAATGCAGATTTTTTTACAATGCAATACAATTACAATTTGTTCAAATTTGCTACATTTTATATGAGTGAATTATTTTCTAGTGTCCTTATTTTGAAAGCAACAATAACGGTTTTAGTTTTTTGTTACGTGATCTTTTGTTTTTTATATATATCGGAAAGAGTCACTATTTTTAAAATCACTAGAATCTAAAGTATTTTAATAACTGGAAATATTTGCTTTTCGCAGAAATATTTCAAAACGAAAACTACGCATAAATATAAACATTTACTTTTCAGTACTTAAACCATGAATAAATCACATTTCTTCAGTTTCCACTAGTAAATATTTACTCAATACCATCAACATATCTGATGTAATTATATGAACCCAGACATTTACCTCCTCATAACAACGAGGCTCAATCACTTATGTTGATTTCAAAATAATAAAATCAACATCTATATTATTTTCAATTTGCAAATGCATATTTTTCTATAATTCTAAATCTCTATATTTTTTTTAATAATTTTTACAAATTGCTACGTATCTTCCTTTGCACTGGCGAGTGATATAAGTTCTAGTATTCTTAATACGAAAACAGCAATAACTTTTTAGTTTTCATGTTATATGATGCTTTGTTTTTTATATATATGATATAGCATCACTGTTTTTAAAATCACTGGGATCTAATGTTTTTTTTATAAATGGAATTTTTTGCTTTTCATAGAAAAATAGTTAGAATGGGTTCATTTCAAAACGTATGTCAAGCATAAACATAAACATTTATGTTTCGCTAAACCATGAATAAATCCCATTTCTTCCGTTTCCGCATCACTGGTAAATATTTACTCAATACCACCAACATATCTGATGTAATTATATGAACCCAGACATTTGTCTCCTTATTACAACGAGGCTCCAATCACTTGTCTTCATTTTCAGAGAAACACAACGGATCGGACTTCTTTTCAATGCGAAGTCAAAGATTATTTGATTCTTGTAATGAGAGATATATTTAAAAATAAGTAATATAAAAAAAATTATAGTCAATTCCTACTTTTTTTTACTATATTGCAAAAAAGTCCTTTTACAAATAATTTTCATTCATTTTTTTAAGTTTATCTGGTGCCATTTATTGGTAGATACATGCAACTTAAATCTAAAAAAAAACTAAAATTCATTAATTAAATTTAATTAATGAATTAATATTAGAAAAAACTGTATTAACATCATGTGTCATCCACTACAAGTTAAAAAGATGTATTTGAACTGGAATGGATGAATAAAGAATATATAGGTACATATATATAGGTAAGATATATATAGGGACAGTGTGAGCTAATAGAAGGAATTGAATAACTCTTATTCGCGACGTAGTTCAAATATTTATTTAAAGTTATGATTCGAAATATTTGTTTATTGCGCATTCGAAGATATTCTTGAAATTCTTGGAGTAATTTAAATCAATATTAGAATAAAAGAGACTGCACGAAAGTTAAAAGCATTGAAATATGGAAGAATTAAATTACCTAAAATGAAGAGCTTTTGAAATAATTTTTTTGAAATTGAATTTTATACTTTTATTTTACTTTTTTTATAAGGTAAATTAATTTTCTTTTTAATTAGTTTTAAAAATATATCTTTGATTCATTTGGTACTGAATTTTGTAATATGTAATGTTAATTTTTTTTTTTTTTTTTTGTATTAAAGAAAATTTTTATTTATAACTAAAGAAACGACGACATATATTAATTTTAAAACTGATATATTTAAATGTGAAGTTTTATTACGAATTTAAATTATTATTACGAGTTTTAAATTAATATACGTCGCTGTTTCCTCAGTTATATATGAAAATTTGCCTTAATAAAATATTACCATTAAATATGAGAAAAATCAGTACAACTATAATAAAAGAAAAGAAATTTTAAATATTCTTTAAAAAAATTAAATTACTTAAAGGTAAAAAAAATAAAGCAAAAGTACAAAATTTATTTTTCAGAAGAAAAAAAAAATCACTTCCAAAAATTCTTTTCAAAAACTTCTTTTCAGGCAACATAATTCTTCTATATTTCAATGCTTTTAACTTTCGAGCAGTCTCTTTTATTCTAGTATTGATTTAAATCCCTCCAAGATTTTCAAGAATCTCTACAAATTCGTAATAAACAAATATTTTGAACCATAACTTTGAATAAATATTTTATCTAAGACGGGAATAAAAGTTATTTTTAAATGTATTTCTCATTACAAGAATCAAATAAGCGTCAACTTCTTACTAAAAAATAGCCGATCCGTTGTGTTTCTCGGAAAATGAAGACACCGATTAGAGAGTCTTCTGTTATAAAAAAGGAAATGTCCGGGTTCATATAATTACATCAGATATGTTGGTGGTATGGAGTAAATATTTACCAGCGATGTGGAAACGGAAGAAATGGGATTTATTCACTGTTTATCGAAAAGTAAATGCTTATGTTTATGCGTAGCTTGCATTTTGAAATGAAGCAATGCTAACTATCTATATTTTTCTACAAAAAGCAAAATTTTCCTTCTAAAAAACATAAGATCACAGTGATTTTAAAAATTGAAAAACAAAAGATCATGTAGCATAAAACTAAAAAAAGTTATTGTTGTTTACAAATTATGTAGACTAGAATCTAAGTCATTCGCCACTGCAAAGGAAGATACATAGCAAATTTGAAAAAAATTATTAAAAAAATATAGATTTAGAATTATAGGCAAATATACATTTGCAATATAAAAAAATTATAGATATAGATTTTATTATTTTAAAATATTGCATACATTAGAATAATAATGAATTCATAATCCTACTGCAAATATTAAAATAATAATGAATAATGAATTCATAAATAGGACATGATGAATTCATAATCATTTTCTAAGCCTGTTCAATGAAAATTTCTGGCAAAATTCGTAATAAAACTATACGTTTAATTTTTTATAATTTATATGTATGTATGTATATGCATTCAGGTTTAAATTGATATATGCCAATACTGCAAATATTACTATATTATATATATTACAAAATTCACTACAAAATTAAATAAAGAAATATTTAAAAAAATAATTTTAAAAAGAATATTAAATTAAAAGCAAAAGTATAAAATCTAATTCTAAAAAAAAATCTTCTTTTTTCCATATTTCAATGATTTTAATTTAACGTGCAGTCTCTTTTATTCTAATATTGATTTAAATTCCTCCAAGATTTTCAAGAACTTTGCTCTGCACTCTTCGTATTCGTAATAAATAAATATTTTGAATCATAACTTTGAATAAATATTTGAAGTACGTTGGGAATAAAACTTATTTTTAAATGCATCTCTCATTACGAGATTCAAATAATCGTCAACTTCTTATTGAAAAAAAGGCCGATCCGTTGTGTTTCTGTGAAAATGAAGTCAGCGATTGGAGCCTTGTGTTATTTAGGAGGCAAATGTCTGGGATCAGATAATTACATCAGATAGGTTGGTGGTATTGAGCAACTATTTGTGGAAACGGAACAACGTATTGTGGAAACGGAAGAAATGTGATTTATTCACGGTATATCGAAAAGTAAATGTTTATGTTTTATGCGTAGTTTACGTTTTGAAATAAACCTATTCTAACTACTGAAATTTTTATAACTGCAAATTGTTTGTTGTTTCTTATCCCACTTGGCTGGCCAAGCCCACGAGCCCATACGTACTCATGACTGAAGGGGAAGGAAGCAGCTTCTGTTGTGATGGAACACCCGTAGGTAGAAGTCTGACTTTGGCTCCGTGACGCACTTGCAGTCATAAGAGACCTGGACCTACGGCTTAAAGTGGATTCCGAACCACTACAAACATCCATGGCACTACCGGGATTCGAACCCGAAACCTGTGGCACCGATCGCCATTGCGCTAGACACCCGGCCATTCAGGTCCCAAATTTGTGAATACCAATGGCACGCGGTGTTACCAGGTGGTCAACCACGCAAGTACTGGCAGCGCCCAATGATGCTTGACTTCGGTGATTGAGAACCGGTACGAGTTTCGGTTGATTGAACGAGAACCGGTATATTCAGCATGGTATGGCCGTTGGCTAGGATTACATCCATTACATGCACTAGGCATTCATTTTTAAAGCAAACATAGATTTCCTTTTAATACTGTAATATAATTTTTTATGTAATTAAATTGGTCGTACTTTCAACACAAACGTGTTCCTAAGTCAGATGAAACAAAAGCAGCAAATTGGGAGAATTGTAAATAAAAACTACGTAAAAGTGACAGTTCGTAAAAGTCAAAGTTCACATTCATGTTATTCTTCGGTTGATGTTGAATGTTTCTTAATGTTATTTGTGTGGCTTTACAACAACTTTTCCTGAAACCACCAAAGAACTTGTGTGAGAACGCTATTAGTTCCGGTTACGACTTTTAGTGACCTTGGTGTTAACGCCATAAATATGCACTTTAGAAATGTCATAGAGACAAAACATTTTTGAGATTCTACAGTATAATGATAAAAGGGGAAAGAAATCTGGAAATCTACTTTTTAGTGATATTTAGGTTGGCAAATTTCCTGAAATATTTAAAGCACCATGTATCACAGATACATGTATCTGTGATACATGATAAACGTAAATTATGTATCAGAGATATATATTAAGCTCAAATGATTTCTAATTTCCATGAAACAATTATTTTGTTATTTCTCTAAATAATAAAATTTTTTTTTAATGCCGCTGGCAAACAGACATGGACGTCATTGTATGCCTTAAGGCAAGCGCTGCACAGACGTTACTCACTTTGCATTACCCAGGGGGCGAGTGTAACTGGAAGATAAGCCACGGACGAGGAGTAACAATGCCCCCGCAACGCTCTACGATCCTATTAGACCGGCATCTACGGTTTAAAGTGGATTCCGAACCACTACACACATCCATGGCACCGCCGGGACTCGAACCCGAAACCTGTGGCACCGAGCGCCAGAGCGCTAGACACTCGGCCATTCAGGTTCCAAATGTGTGAAGGCCAACGGCACGCGGTGTTCCCAGGTGGTCACCCACCCAAGTACTGACCGCGCCCAATGATGCTCGACTTCGGTGATCTAACGAGAACCGGTTTATTCAGCATGGTATGGCCGTACTGCAAATATAAGAATAATAATGAATAGTGAATTTCTAAAATAATGAATGTTGAAGAATAATGAATAATGAATTCGTAAAATACTGCATGTCGAAGAATAATAATGAATAATGAATTCATAAAAATACTGCATAGAAGAAGAATGAATTCATAATCGTTTTCTAAACTAGTTCAATGAAAATTTCTGGTGAAATTCATCATAAAACTTCACATTTAAATTTTTATAATATATATATGGATTCAGTTTCAAATTGATATACGCCATCATTTCTTCAGTTATAAATGAAAAATTGCTTTAATAAAAAATTAATCATTAAATATTACAAAATTCAGTACAAAATTAATAAAAGACAATTCCTTTAACTTTCTTACTGTCTCTTTTATTGTGATATTGATTTAAATTCCTCCAAGATTTCAAAGAATCTCTCCGAATTCGTAATAAATAAGTATTTCGAATCATAACTTCGAATAAATATTTGAACTACGTCGGAAATAAAAGTTATTAGAGGTTTTTGCATACCGTAAGTTAGTTACCGTAGGACGTCCGTTAGCTTTTTCTCCCTAGCGCGCATGCTCAGTTTCCTATGAGCATGCGCGCTAGGGAGAAAAAGCTAACGGACGTCCTACGGTAACTACCGTACGGTATGCAAAAACTCTCTATTTTTAAATGTATCTGTCATTACAAGAATCAAACAACCGTCAACTTCTCATTGAAAAGAAGGCAGATCCGTTGTATTTCTCCGAAAATGAAGACAGTGATTGGAGTCTTGTGTAATTACATCAGATATGTTGGTGGTGTAGAGTAATATTTACAAGCGATGTGGAAACGGAAGAAATGGGATTTATTCATATTTTAGCGAAAAGTATATGTTTACGTTTATGCATAACTTACATTTTGAAATGAACCCACCCCACTAACTATCGATATTTTTCTACAAAAAGTATAAGAAATATTACCATTTATAAAAAAACAGTAGATCACATTGATTTTAAAAATTGTGATTCTATGTCATATATATGTAAAACAAAAGATCATGTAGCATAACACTAAAAAAGTTATTGTTGTTTTCGTATTAAGGATACTGGAACCTAAATCATTCTCCACTGCAAAGGAAGATACATAGCAAATTTGAAAAAAAAAATTATTAAAAATATAGACAGATTTAAAATTTTAGAAAAATATACATTTGCAAAAGGAAAATATTATAGATTTACATGTTAATATTTTAAATTGCTGAATATATGAGAATAATATTGAATACATAATCATTTTCTAAGCCTGTTTTAATTTATATATATATATATGGATTCAGTTTTAAATTGATACGTGCCGTCGTTTCTTCAGTTATAACAGTTGTAAAGGACAAACTTGTCTTAATAAAAAATAAGCATTAAATATTACTAAATTCAGTACAATATTAATCAAAGAAATTTTTTTTTAAATAATTTAAAAGAAAATTAATTTACTTTAAGGTAAAAAATAAATAAAGCAAAAGTATGAAACCTAATTTTCAGAAGAAATAACGTCATTTCAAAACCTCTTCAGTTTAGGCAACATAATTCTACCATATTTCAATGCTTTTAACTTTCGTGCAGTCTCTTTTATTCTAATATTGATTTAAATTCCTCCAAGAGTTTCTGGAATCTCTCCGAATTCATAATAAATCAATATTTTGAGTCATAACTTTGAGTAAATATTTGAACTGAGTCGGGAATAAAAGTTATTTTTAAATGCATCTCTCATTACAAGAATTAAATAACCGTCAACTTCTTATTGAAAAGAAGGCCGATAGTTTTTATTTCTCTGAAAATGAAGACAGTGATGGAAACCTCGTTGTTATATGGAGGCAAATGTCTGGGATCAGATAATTGCATCAGATATGTTGGTGGTATTGAGTAAATATTTACTAGCGATGTCGAAACGGAAGAAATGAGATTTTTTTCATGGTTATTGAAAAGTAAATGTTTATGTTTATGCGTTTTGAAATGAACCCATTCTAACTATCAATATTTTTCAACAAAAAGTAAATATTTCCATTTATGATTAACATTAGATCACAGTGATTTAAAAAAAAAAAGTGATGCAATCTTGTATATTAGAAAAAAAAAAGATCATGTAACATAAACATTAAAACATTACTGTTGTTTTCGTATTAAGAATACTAGAACTTAAATCAATTGTCATTGCAAAGGAAGATTCATAGAAGTTTGAAAAAAATATTTAAAAAAATATTTATATTTAGAATTATTGAAAAATATACTTTTGCAAAATGAAAAATTATAAATTCAGATTTTATTATTTTAAAATACTGCTTAAAATAGAATAAGAATGGATGAGTAATTCATAAGCATACTGCAAATATTAAAATAACAATGTATGTGTAATTCATAATTATATTCCAAATATTAGAATAATAATGAATAATGAATTCATAAAATACTGCATGATGTAGAATAATAATGAATTCAGAATCATTTTCTAATCCTGTTCAATGAAAGTTTCTAGTGAAATTCTGAATAAAACATCACATTTAAATTTTTATATAATATATATTTATATATATATATATATATATATATATATGGATTCAGTTTTGAAATCGTTATATGCCATCGTTTTCTCAGTTATAATATTATAACTGAAAATTTGCTTTAATAAAAAAATTAGCATTAAATATCTCAAAATTCACTACAAAATGAATCAAAAAAATATATTTAAAAATTAATTTAAAAGAAAATTTAAAATACCTTAAGGTAAAAAAAAAAGTAAAGAGAAAGTATAAAATTTTACATAAAAAAATCATTTCAAAAACTCTTCTTTTCCGGTAACATAATTCTTTCATATTTCAATGCCTTTAAATTTTGTGCAATCTCTTTGATTCTAATATTGATTTAAATCCCTCCAAGATTTTCATGAATCTCTCCAAAATCACAATAAATAAATATTTTTAATCATAACTTTGAATAAATATTGGAACTACTCCGAGAATAAAACTTATTTTTAAAAGCATCTCTCATTACAAGAATCATATAACAGTCAACTTCTCATTGAAAAGAAGTCCGATCCGTTGTGTTTCTCTGAAAATGAAGACAGGAGCCTCGTGTTATTTTGAGTCAAATGTCTGGAATCAGATAATTACATCAGATATGTTGGTGGTATTGAGTAAATATTTACCAGCGATGTGGAAACGGAAGAAATGGGATTTATTCATGGTTTATTATCGAAAAGTAAATATTTACGTTTATACGTAACTTATGTCAAATGCTTATGTTTATGCAGTTTGAAATGAACTCATTCTAACTATTGATAGTATTATACAAAATGAAAAATTTAAATTTATAAAAAAAAAATTTATTTATTTTAAAGATAGTGATTCTGTCTGTTATATAAAAAATGTAATATAAACCTAAAACAGTTGTTGGTGGTTTCCTTAATTCGAAACCAACAACAACTGGTTTAGGTTTATATTACATGATCTTTTTTTCTAAACTCTTCGCTACTGTAAAAGAAGTTACGTAGTAAATTTGAAAAAAAAAAAAATTTTACATTTATATAAAATATTAGATCATAATGATATTAAAAATAATGATGCTATCTCATATATATATATATATATATATATGAAAAACAAAACATAATGTAACATAAAACGAAAAAGGGGTTATTGTTGTTTTCATATTAAAAATACTAGAACTTTAATCATTCGCCACTGCAAAGTAAAATAGTTAGCAAATTTGAAAAAAATTTGATTTTCCATTTATAACAGTGATTTTAAAAATAGTGATGCTATCTCATATGTATAAAAAATAAAAGATCATTTAACATAAAGCTAAAAAAAGTTATTGCTGTTTTCGTATTAAGGATACTGGAATCTAAATTATCACTACTGCAAAGGAAGATACGTAGCAAATTTGAAAAAATATAAAAAGAAAATATAGATTTAGAATTAT